GATGAAATTACATTTTGACTTTAAAAGTGCTTCTGATTTATTTACCTGCACTGAGGATGTTTTTTCCATCGTTGCCATGGTGACGGATGGTGGTGGGTGGAGAACTGTGGCCCTGACGACTCCGCAGCAGTCTAGCTCCGCCCCCTTCCTGGTCAAATATCCACACCTGAAGGAAAATCATTTTTCATTGTCATCATCAGTCGAGGCTGAAGAGACAAAACTGAAAGACGTCATGAAGGAAAGACCGGCTGAGGATTCACGTGTGTCCACACCCATCTGTCTGTCTCCTACCTTGATGGCGTTGTCGGCTCCGTTGGTGACCAATAGCGGCTCGCCCTGCAGGAATGTTGCCGCGGCGACGGCTGTTCTGTGGGCATGTCTCTGCTGAGCGACCAGCTGACGACGCTCCAAATCCCAGAATGCAATGTGGCCCTGAGGGCTGCCAGACGCCACAACTGGAGGACCGTCTGACAGAGAGAGAAACGATGACGCGTATGCCATGCTGGCTCCTGATTGGCTCGTACTGTCACTACGAGTCACGTGTACCTGTTCTGAAAGCCAGCGAAGTGATTGGTCCCCAGTCCTGTGTGAAGCTCATCAGTGTCTCGTCCAGTCGGATGTTGTGAATGATGATGCGGCCGGTCGCCGTGCCGACACCGACTACGTCCACCGCGGGACTCTGGGAAATGAAGAGTTTACTGAAATGAAGCGCTGCCTCGTGTTGCTACAGCAACAACAGTAGAGATGTGAGTTTAAACTCTAGGTAAACAGACGCTCGGCTACAAAGCAGCAACAAGCACAACGTGACTGTCTGAGTGGAAGAGAAGCTGGACGACGAGCATCTGGACCAAAACCATCATCATCTCTGTCACAGCGCTCAACAGGCTCCACGTGCTTCACTGAGCTCTGGACTGAGATGATTTGTCCAAAAAAATGATGAAACACATTCAAATAAAAGCATTTTGGAGATGACTAAAGGCTGATCAATAAGCGTTGTGATCAATAATTGATGTGATCAATAAGTAATCTGATCAATAAGTGATGTGATCAATCAGCGGCAGTGACTGACCTGCTGCAGAGCGGTGACTCCAGCCGACCAGCCGGGGAAGCTGAAGAGCAGCGTGCTGAGGATCAGAGACGATTATTCACTCTTTGCTCACTGCCACTGTTCACATGAACACATTACACATGGAGTCTGTTGTCATGGTTACAGGCGGTGTCGTGCTGTCCGGTGAAGCAGCAGAACAGGTCAGAGTTCACATCAGACTGCAGGGGGCGCCGCAGCCTGCTGACACGCTACCGTGCTGACCTGGTCTTGACGTTCCAGAGCTGCAGCGCACCCTGGGAGCTGCCCAGCAGCACCTTGTTCAGGTAGGCGCTCGGGTGCATCATGGCCGACACGTTGAAGGTGGTCGGGTCGAACTGCAGCCGCAGGTAGACGTCTACGACGCAGACAGGGCAAAGCATGATGGGAAACAGCAGAGGAGCAGTACAGCAACAGCTGAGTTTACCTGAAGCCACGCCCCCTCCAGCTCACCTCCTCCCTGGACATCCCACACGATGACATCACCACCGCTGTCAGCAGAGATCAGCTGATCACCCAGAGGCAGCAGCAGACGCACATCCTGTCTGTGACCATGGTAACGCATCACCACCTGGGGAGACAGTGCAGGGTCAGACTAGCCAGCGTGCTAACGTGCTAACGTACGCTGATCCTTCATTCCACACCGACCTCCTTGTTCCTGGCAAAGGCGCTGATGAGGCGTCCAGCGGCAGCGAACACCAACATCCTGTCAGCCGCCAAGCAGGTGATGTCATCTGACAGGCAGTTACCTAGGCAACCATATCACAATACATCACCACAGAGCAGCCAATCAGACAGCAGCACTTTGAACAGCATCATCAGAGGGACGTTAAGGACAGAGGATTGAAATGACTCACTGACAGCCACGATGCCCAGCCGGTTCACCTGCAACGATCAATCAGGCCGTCAATCAATCAGCCGGTTCATCAATCAATCAATCAATCAATCAATCAATCAGCCAGTAGGGCGGGGCCATATGGTAACACCGCTGTAATGTCAGGGGATGATATGAAATTGAAATATCGCGATAAAACTTGAGTGGAGGCGCAGCGCCGTTGTTCTGGTCCGGTCTCATGCACATGGAGCGAGAAGCACGGAGGAGGGCTGGACCTGGATATCGGAGTATTCGGTCGTTCTGGTGGAGTCCAGAGAGCACTTTTGAGATCCGAATATTCGCTGCCACTCGATGCTGGAAACAGAACCATGACCGCAGTCCTAAACGGGCATCAGCAGCCAAGTCCTGGCCGTGCGTCCCGCCCACTTGCTCCCCCCAGTGGTGGTGAGACCACAGAACCTCCACTGTCCTTCTGTGGATCCTGGACAGAGTTCTGCTCAGGACGTGTCAGCCCGTTTCCACTGAAACGCCTTTTGGTTGAACAACCTGCAGCCTGGACCCTGCTGATGTTATGACGTCACAGCTTCATGAGCATCACCAACAGCTGCTGGACCGGAAGCTGCTGGTTCTATCTGCACCAATAAAGTTGTGCAGTTTGAACGATTTTGTCTCGCGTCAGTTATATCGATACCGCACGTTCTCATTTATATCACCATATCACCCTGCCCTACCAGCCAGCCTATCGATCAGTCAATCAATCAATCAATCAATCAATTACTGACGTTGAATGTGTGGAAGTTCCGACCCGCCGCCGTCACCACGTAGAACTCGCGGTGCTTCAGGTGGTACCGGAGCGCGTGCGGTACGTGGTTGGAATACAGACCCAGAACCCGGAACCCGGAGAACAACGAGCTGCCGCCGTCCGCCATGTTCGGTAGCAACCGAACAGTTTACCGGGAAACCACCGAAAAGCAGCGACACTCACGAGCTCACACCGGCACGAGAAGCCCGGAGAGCAAGCACATGGAGGAGCTGCGAGGTGCTCCGTCCGACTACAAACAAACACCAGCCGCACGAAGGTTCCGCTCTAAAGACCAACATCGGCTCTTCGGTCATCTTCGGGTTTTACCGGCAGAACCGAATCCAAAGTGTCCGGACAGAAACCCGCGAGGAAACAAACGTTCCGCCGCAGTCAGCGCGACTCCTCCAGTCCTCCCGTTCAGTCAGAACAAACCCGCCTCAGAATAATTTCACATTTTAATCAAATACTGAAATGATGAACTAATAAGTTCAAATACTAAAATGCAAAACAGTCAGCGTGAGTTCAGAGTGAAGTGTCTGAAACGTGAGTGTTGACACCTTGTCCTGTAGAACAGGCCATCAGACCATCTGACTGTAATCTCACAGCCGTCCGTCTGACTGTAGACACCACCGCTCTGCATGCTGTGGTTGTTTCCTCCACCAGCCCAGGCTGCTCGTTCAGTCCATCCCTCTATCGATCCGCTGCCTGCCTGCCACTCATATCTACATCATAAAGAATTCAGAAACCAGAAGCACACCTGAAAGAAAACTTTAAATCTATAGTAAGAATACAGAAAGTCCATCCATCCATCATCTTCCTCTTATCCGGGTCGGGTCAGGGGTCAGCAGGCGGAGCAGCTCGTTCCAGACTTCCCTCCCCCCGAGGCGTTCCCAGGCCAGAGATGTGATCCCTCCAGCGGGTTCTGGGGCTGCCCCGGGGTCTCCTCCCAGGTGGACGTGTTTGGAAGACCTCCAGAGGAAGCCTCCCCGGAGGCATCCGGATCACATGTCCAAACCACCTCAGTTAGAGCAGAGGCTCTACTCCGAGCTCCTCAGCCTGTCTCTAAGGCTGGACCTCCAAGGACAGAAAGTCCACGAAGGTAAATAAACAAACAAATAAATAAATACACACATACCAATATTTTTAAATTAATTTATCAACACAATTTGCAGTTCAACACCACGAGGCAGAGCGTGGGCAGACATCAGAGGAGGCTGGTATTCAGTGAAACGCTTGTTTTAAAGCTAATGAAACGTTTCTCGGTACAAACTGTAGTTCAGTCTGCTGTGAATTAAAAGTCACTCATCATTTAAAAAGCCAAAGACGCTTCTGTTGTCGCACAAACACGGTTTTATTTCACATGAAAACAAATTTACAGAAAAGTTTTCAACACGAGACACCACAAGATCTGAGCGGAGCGGATTCACCGGAAACACGTTTTGTGGCTTTAACTGATTTGAAGTCGTTCAGAACTCTTCCAGGACCTTCTCAGATCAAATCGTCTGATTGGATTTCCAGACATGTGATCTGAATATTGATCTCATTGTTTATGAATCACAAATAATTTAATCTAAATCTACGTTTTTATTACATAGAACTTTTGATTTTTACAGATTTTTACAAATAAACTTTTTCCACTGTTCAGACATTTTCTCTGGATGTTTACATGTTTGTTTATATTGACAAACAGACGTGACCAATTGGCTGTCAGTATTTACACAATGGGGTGATAACAGGTTCATGCTGGTATGGGAAGTGATGCTAGGTTTCCATGGCAACAAAGTGACCACTACAACTATTATGCTAAGCTAGGCTAATCCCAGAGTGTTCCCTGTGGTGCTGCAAAGTGGTTCCTAAGTGGCATTTGTGTTGCTAGGTAACAGGGATCCAGGAGTTTCTTTCAGTGTCAGGGTAGGGTGGTTTCTATGGCGCTACACCTGGTTTCCATGGAAGCGGTTACACAATCACTTCCCAGCCAGCAAGTTCTTACCCAATCAGACGACAGTACTTCCTGTTTGTTTACTTGTTTCTTCTCTTTAACCGAAGAAACATCCTGTTGCCGTGGTGACAGCTCACTGATGACACGTGGAAGTTTCCAGCTGACCTCAGTGGGAGGTGATGCTGCGTCTCCATAGTAACACCCTAGCCGGCCTTGGTGTCCAGCAGCAGCAGCCTGAGTAGCGTCCTGGCAGCGGCGAGCAGCGCTCCGTGTAGCGCGTACTGCGCCACCAGCGCACCGAAGCCGCGATAGAAGCCGGCTCGGCCCTCTTTGCGGCGAATGGCGTGCAGGCAGTCGGAGAAGCCGTCGTACTGCGTGTTGACGGGCAGAACCAGCGGGCTGCCGCCATCGGCAGCGGCCACCGCGCCGTCAGTGGCGTCGATGATGGTGCGTGTGCCCTGCAGGCTGAGGCGGTGCAGCGCCGTCTCCAGAGGAAACACCACCACGTCGGCCACCAGAGACCCCACCCACGCCGCCGCCAGCTCGGGGAAGTAGACGTCCAGCGGGTTGGATGGGTCCGCTCGCTGCTTCCTGCCCCGCTGGTGCAGCCACAGCGCCGCTCGCTGGACAGAGGCTGCAATGGCGTAACGCAGCACAGCGTGCAGCGCGGCGGGAAGCAGCAGGCAGCTGAGAGGCAGCAGGCGGCGGCTGTGAGGAGCGCCGACGCCCAGCAGACGAGCCACGCCTTCACGGACACAGTCCAGCAGCCCCGACGACGACTCATCGCGCACGATCTCACTCTGCAGACACACGGCCACCAATCAATAATCAGTGAGCTGCTCTGTGATCTGACGCCACGGCAGACTGTCTCAATGTGGAAAACAATCAATAATCAACAATAACTCACCTGGACGGTCTCGATGAGGCTGGCACAGTAAAACGGAAGAGCCACCGCCGCCGTCAACCTGCAGCCGACACACACGCTGGTTCAGCAGGAGAACAAGTGGACGCAAACAACAACAACAGTAGAAGAAGACAAACAACAACAGTAGCAGACAAACAACAACAACA